CCCCCCCCCCCCTGCCCTCCTCCTCCCAATGCTCCGTCTCGCGGTGACACGCGCCCATAGGCAATTCCACACCGTGGTCACGGACAGCCAGCACCTGTATCTGATCGGCGGCGACCATCATCGGGGCCTGTCGAACTACCTCTGCGCCTTTGCCATGAACTTCCTGATCTTGCAGCAGTTCTTCTCGTTCTTGATCTACAAGCGCTCGGATTTGTCATACAACATGCTGAACTACCTGGTGCGGATGTTCTTCCGGTCGGCGCAGGGGGCCTCCAGCGCGTCCGGCACCGCGGCCCCCGGGGCCGCCGCGGCTCCCGCCACCTCGCATGATTATCTGGGCCTCGGGACGTCCTTCCTGTCGCTCTTGGCCCGGCCCGGGCATACCGCGGCGGCGGCGGCGGCGGCGGCGGCGGCGGCGGCGGCGGCGGCGGCGGCGGCGACAACGACAACCGGCCCCTCGCTGGCTCCTAGCACGCCGAAGACCGGGCCCTTGGGCGCCGGTTCTCGGGGCACCCCCTCGCCGCTGGGGGCCAGCCGGTCGCAGGACACCTCGCCGCCGGACCGCCTCACCTCGGACGGCATCAGCGCCCTGTTGCATGAGCAGCTGGCCGGAGTGGACCCCGGCACCGGGCGGCCACACTCGCGTTGGGAGGAATTCCCGGCGGTGTCGGCGGCAGCCGGCGGTCTGTGGGGCGCCCCGCCGGCCGAAGGTGGTGCCGCCGAGTTGGGCGACCCGCTGGCCGGCCCGCACCACCACCACCACCACCACCACCACCAGTGGCCCACCTCCCGGGGGGAGAAAGTCGAGCAGGATGTGGGCCGAAATGCGGCGGCGGCGGCGGCGGCTGCGATGGCGGCGGCGGCAGCGGCGGCGGCCGCCGCCGAAGCCACGGCCATAGCAGCCTCCCCAGCGGCCTCCTCTGCCTCCCCTCCCGGTGCCGGGCCGCGGATGCTCTCCCCCTCGACGCCTTCGCCGGTGCCGGAGAACCTGCCGGACTTGGCGGAATTGGGTGTCACCGTGGTCGGGGCCCTGAGCGCCGAGGAGCAGCGCGTGCTCGAGGCGCGGCGGCTCCAGTCGGAGAAGGTCCGAACGCTGAAGATCCAGGACGAGCGGCGCATCAACCGGCAGATTGTGGAGCAGCTGAAGATCTTCAATGAGCGCCACCTGATGCGGGACTGGCAGTACTCCTCGCAGCCGGGTCTCCTGGTCCGGCACCACCCTCGGCGTCGGCCGGCTCGCGAGGCCGAGACCGACGCCGGGGAGGACACCGTGGCCCAGGCCGCGGCGGCAGCCGCGTCGGCCGTGTCCCTGTCCAACACGCTGCCGATCACCGGGCGCGTGAGCATGCTCAGCTCGGCGGTGTCCGGCGTGGCGCAGTTGTCTTCGGCGAATGCGGCGGCGGCGGCGGCGGCGGCGGCGGCGGCAGCATCAGCCACCACGGCCTCGGCCTCGGCCCTTCCGTCGGCGTCGCTGCCGCTGTCGCGCTCGCGCACCGACCTGCCCATCGCCGAGGGGGGCGGGTATGCGCCGGAGGCGGGGGCCGATGGGGGTGCTGGCTTCCCGGGGTTTGGCTGGGCGCGGCCGCAGCCGCCGGCGCCGGCGCCGGCCCCGATACCGCCGCAGCGCTCGGCCTCCGGGCTGTCGCTCTACTCGGACCCTGGGCATCATGCTGGTGTGTCGGTGGCCGCGGTGGCCGGCTCGCCGTCATCCAGCCGGTCGTTCCTCGGAGACGCGGGCTCCATGCATGATGGGCGCCCTGGTGGGTACTTCGCCCCGGAGGGGGTCTACTACAATCCCTCGCACTCGCGGTATGTCCCCAGCCTCCGGGCACCATGTCCCGCCATGTTCCCGTTGCCCGGTCTGACCCCCCCCCCCTCTCCCCTCCTCCTCCTCCTCCTCCTCCTCCTGCTGCTGCTGCTGCTGCTGCTGCTGGCGCCTCTGACCGGTGGTTATGACATGCAGGTCGCCCTCGGCTTCATCGACGTCGAGCGCCTTCGGCATCCGGTCCTCCTCCTCCTCAATGTCCTCGCTGTCCTCCTACGCCTCGAAGACCAGCATGTTCTACTCGGAGCCGCTGCCGGTGTCGCCCTACCTGAAGCCCAACCTGAGCATCATCTCGCCGGAGAACCCGGTGCGTTTGCCATGTGCCAGCCTTTGGGCCCTGTCGCACCCATCCCCGGCCCATGCTTACCCGGCCCCTGCCCTCCGTGTGCGCGCCCCGGCCATCGGCCGCTGTGACAGCTTGCCATCAAGGTCAACATTCGGCTCGAGGAGGGCACGCTCATCCGGTCGTCCTTCTTCAAATCCCCGCCGACGGTGGCCATCCTGACGGAGTTCATCGCCGGCGGCCTGCCACACTCGCAGGATCGAATTGCCATCTTCTACCAGGACTCCGAAAATGATCTGATCTCGGTCCAGACGGATGCCGATTTGGAGGAGGCGCTGGTGCAAGCGGTACGCTCCTGTCTGGCCTTCTCCCTCTCCGCCCCCCGGCCCCGCCCCCTTTCCCCTCCTGCGCTCCTTTTGGCTGCTTCCCCTTGCCGCGGTCTCCTTCCCGCACACCCCGCCCCCCCCCCCCTCCAGACTTCCCACTCCGGCCGCCCATCAGCAGCCCCCTCGGCCAGACGACTGACCTTGAAGATACGCCGACTCTGTCCACACGGCACCGCCAACAGACCGACTCCGAGGGCAATGTCGGCGCACAGCCGATGGTCGGCATGCACGGGATACAGATCCAGCTGTTTGCCTCGCTTCGGGATGTGCCTCTGCACTCGCCCTCTCCCCATGGGGGCGTTCACACGCGGATCCCTTCCAGCTCGTCACAGAGCCGGGCCGATCGGCCGGGCTTCCCGGTCGGCGGGAGCAGCGCCAACGGCGGGGGGCTGTCCACCGGCGGGAGCGCGACCTCGCTGGTGGGTCCGGCGACGGCGGCGGCGGCGGCGCACACCCCGGCCGGCTCGCCTCGGTTGGCCACCGGCAGTGTGGGCAGCGCCCCTCCCGGCGGTGCGATGGCGCACTACTCCGGCAAGACCTCGTCGTCGCCGATGCCGAGCGATCGACACCGGTCGTCTTCCAGCAGCTCGCTCGGCGCGTCCGGCTCACGCTCACGCTCATCGTCCCTCTCAGTGGGCGTGTCTTCCGGTGGCTGGCCATCGGCCGGCGGGTCCAACGTGCATGTGCTCAGTGCGCATGTTCAAAGTGCGCACGCCTCTTGGCCGCGGGGTTTGCTTGCCGTCTTTTTTTTTTTTTTTGACAGGCGGGCAGAAAAGGGCCGGCCACAGCCCCCTGGCTGCACTTCCCTCCTCGCGTCATCCATCTTCCGGGGGCGCCTCTTCTCCGGGTCTTTGCCCCCTTTGAACGGTCTCCGCCCTGCCTCCTACTCACGCTTACGGTGATGCCCCTTCCCCTCCCCCCGCGCGGTGGGGACTACCTCCCCTCCTGCCTCTCACGCACAACAACAACCCCTCATCCAGGCCTGCGCCAACTGCGCATGGGGCCAGCCTTGTCGTCGGCGGACAAGCCATTCTCCAGCTTCCTGGCGTCGGATCCAATGACCGGCCAGCTGGCCGTGGTGCATCGCTTCCACGAGCAGTCCTTCCCGGTGTCAGCCTTCACGGCCCTGTCACTGGAGGGGAGTGGCCCCGCCGGGGGTAGTGACATGACCCGGCGCCCGGCGCCGGCTGATGCCGCCGACCAGCTGACAACCGTCTTTTGGAATATCCACTTCATGATGCGCCTCAATCCCCTGCACATACTCCAGCACTACGGTCCGTCCAGGCGTCCGGCCTTTCTCCCTTGCCCTCGGCCTCCTCTGCAGGGCCGGCTGCTGACCGTCGGGATACACGCACACACATGCACCCGCACTCCCGCACGCACGCACGCACGCACGCACGCACGCACGCACGCACGCACGCACGCACGCACGCACGCACGCACGCACGCACGCACGCACGCACGCACGCACGCACGCACGCACAACCATGGACATTTGTCTGTCCAGGGGCCTTCTTCGATGAGCACCGGCACCTGCTGCTCGTGACGGAATACGCCACGGGCGGCTCGCTGCGGCGGCTGATCGACGACGTGCCGATTGTCCTGCCGGAAAGCCTGTCCCGGCGGTATCTCCTCCAAGTGGCCATGTCCCTGCACTACTTGCACACGGCCACGGCCCCGGTGTCGGGTGGCGGGTCGACGCAATCCCCCGGCCCGGGACCCAGTGGGCCGGTGTCCTCCCCGGCGCCGACGCCGACGCCGACGTCGACGCCGACCCCGCTGCCGGCATCCGGCTTTGGCCGGGCGCATGGGGACATCCGGTCGACGAACATTTTCTTGTGTGCCTCCACCGGCCGGGCGCGCCTCGGGTCCATTCGCCTGGATCTGGCGCCGGTTGCCTCGCCCGGGGGCTCGGCCCAGGGCAGCCCCCCGGCTGGGGTTCTGACCGGCGGCCTCGGGGCCCTGCCGTCGGACTTGGCGCTTGGCCTGGACACCGGGCCGACGTCCTGCCTGGATGACTTGCACAGCTTGGGCCTGGTGGCGGTGGAGCTGCTGACACGCTTGAAGCCGTCCCGGGTGGGGGCTCTTCTCCGGCCGCCGGCCGCGGCCCATGCCCTGCTGCAGGTGCTGGTCGGGGCCGGCGCGTCTCCGATGGCGGTGGACTTTGTCAGCCGGTGCCTGCACTTGGAGCTGCATCTGCCCCGGAGCCTGAGCACCGAGTCGTTGCCATGCTTCCCCCTGGGGCCGGATGGCCTGGGGCCGGTGGGCAGCCAGGCCGGCCTGCATCAGGCGACCACGGCCGCCACGTCGGCCGTCGGATCGATGAACTCCTCGCCGGCCCTGCAGGGGATGGTCCCCCCGGCCGGGCGGCTGAACCGGGCCATGTCCTTCAGTGTCGGGCCGGGTGGCGGCCTGGCCGGGCCCGGGCCGGCTTCTGGCAATGGGCCGGCTTCTGGCAATGGGCAGGTCCGCCAGCGGCCGCTGTCGGCCAATTACAGTGCCTCGCCGAGCATCCCCTCGCCGGTGCCCTTCCGTGGGTTTTCCTGCATCCGCGAGTGCCTGGCCCATCCCTTCCTGTCGGGCTACTCGACTCCCAAGCCCCTGGGCGAGTCGGGCCACCTGGTCCTCGGGCAGCCGCCTCAGCCGCCGGGGGTCGGCTCCGGTACGCCGGCATCTGCGCGGGCGGGCTGAGGTGAGGGGGCGCCGGGGGAGGGGGGGGGGGGGGCCTTTCCTTCTTCTGCCGACGACCCAGCGCCTCTTTCTCACCTCCGCTGCTTGCCCGCCTCTTGGGTCCGGTCAGTGTCGCTCCTTGGCACGTCGCCCGGTTCGCATGGGATCCCGGTGCGCGAGCGTCGTCGGTCTTTCAGCGGTGGCCAGCCGGCCCTGGCCCCGGTGCAGGTGCCCTCCTACCAGGGGACCGGCGTCCCGGGGATGGGCCAGATGGCGGCCTCCCCGCCGGCCAGTGACCAGGGCTCCCCGTCGCAAGCCTTCCGCGCGCGATTCAACTCGCCCAGCCAGACCCCCACTGGCGGCATTCCTTCGCTGCCTCGTCGCGCCGGTGCCGGCGTCGGTGCCGGTCCATCGGACAGCGGGCCTCGGCGCACCTCGGCCCCGGTCGGGGACCATCGTCGGCCCGGGGTGGCGGCTCTGCCGGCCGACTCGCCGCCACCCTCCTCAGCCGAGGAGATGCTCGCCCCGGCGCCCCGGTCGCGGGCTCGGTCCAGCGCGCCCGCCGCCTCGGCCAGCGGCATCCACAGCGGCCGGCTCGGTCCCGATGCCCCGGCCAATGGCACCGACGACACCACCAGCGGCGGTGGCACCGGCACGGGCGGTGGCTATGATGTTTGGTCCTTCACCTCTCTGTCAACCCCCTCCCCCGAGCCCTACACCTCGGTGTAGATCGTGCGTCTGCTGTATGCCTGTGTGCGTGTGCCTGTGTGTTTGTGAATGTGTGTCCGCGCACATCCCCTCATGCGTCTTCCCCCTCCTCCTTGTACCATATGGCTGGCGAAAGAGGGGGGTCCTCCTCCTTGTTTCTCTCCCCGCCTCCCCTCTCTGCCGCCCTGGGGGCCGATCTGCGTGCGTGCGCACACGCACGCCGGGCCCCAGACGGAATACACCCTCGCCCGGCCCCCCCCCCCCGCTCCCTTCTTTTTTCTGTGAACAGTGTGTTGTCTCCTGGCACACGATCGGAGGCCCGTGCGTTGGCACTTGTCAATGACCTGCGCGGCCGTCGTGTCTGTTCGCGAGCGCGCACACGCGCGCGCGAGTATGCTCTGCAATCTGGTGCATCGGGCTAGCGCCGGCGGTGTACGGGTGGGGGGGGGGGGGGGGGCAGAGTGAGGGGAGACTGATGTGACTGGTGTTTCCCCGGTCCCCGGTCAGTGGGGCGCAGCCTCGGCCCCCAAAAGGGGGCCCCCCGCCCCCGGCATTCCCCCCTCCGCAAGCGATCGAAGGACGTCCCGCCGTCGGGTCATGGGCGGGGACGCCCCGACGGAAGGAGGCGCGCGCGAGAGAGAGAGAGAGAGAGAGAGAGAGAGAGAGAGAGGGAGAGAGAGAGAGAGAGAGAGAGGCCGGCAAGGAGTCGGAGGATGGCCTGCAGGAGGAAAGGCACGGGAGGAAGCCCACCCCGCTGGCGGGGCAAGCGTGTGGCGTGCAGCCGCTGGTTTCGCCCGCCGCGCCGGACTGGCGCCTCAAAACGTGTGCCTCGTAGGGCGTGTGTGTGTGTGTCTGGGGGGGGGGGGGGGTGTCCTGCGCAGAGGACGTGCGTGGTCGGTGCCCGGCGCTGGCCGCGTCTGCTCTGTGCGGCGCGATCGCGCCCGGGTGCCCGCGGATCGCGCAGCCGC